TTACAAAATGCCATTAAATATAAAATTCAAATATATGTAATAACCTCCGCATGCAATGATTTTTCTCATACATTGGGTATATCTGTTTAAGAACAGATGCTGTATACACCACTATTTTTTTTAATACAATATTCTTACTATGACTATGGTAAAACTACGTAAAAGCCCACTGTAAGAAATAGAAGAGTTTTTAGTTCAGTGATTCTCAACCAAGGTGCTGATGCTGAGAGAGATCTTTTGAATGGTGTCTCAGTGTGTGAGGAGAGAAGCCAGATGTAAAGATATAAGCAGAGAAGTTCAAGCTCAAGCTCAGACCCTGCCTGGCTCTTCCCCTACCCCACTGCCTGGCCCCTTTGTAACTAGCTAAGCACTGTAATAAGTTTGTATCTCATATGAGATGATCCTCAATTCACAAAAGTTACAGAAGGATGCCTTGAGTCTAAAAAAGTTGAGAACCACTTTTCTAATTACTGAATTACTGAACACACAGTACACAAAATTACATGTAGCAAAATCTATATTGCCCTAATATAAAATAATGATGTCCAAATATCTCAACACACAAAGTCTGCTCTATTCCAGTGTTTTACTGTAGGCTATCATAGCACTCAATACTGTATGAGGGCCCAGTTGTGCAGTCATCAGTAACACTGAGTATTCTGCAAGTTGACTGATTTCAGCAGGTGCTACTATGTGCGAGTAAGGAGGCCATCATTCACATTGCATATTTTTAGTCTTACTTGGGGGACAGAAAATGTAATGTTTGCCTCTTTACAGCTCTAATTTCAAAATCTAATTTAATATCCTGAAGCTTTTGATGATGTGTACAGGTAGAAATGAAATCAGTCAAGTTAAAATTATGAAATGAGTGAAAATGCTAGGGTCCCATTAGGTAGTTTTAGTATAATAATAATAATGCTTAGAATTTGCATTGGCCAGAGATTAAAGGACTGGACATGGTTTTATTCCATTGGGATTTGGGGGCATTCATCTCTCAAGAAGTACTTTAGCACCTTACAGACTCTGGTCTGCATTGCTTAACAACCTCATATTGTTGTAAAATTCCTTCATTAGTTCTCATAATGCTAATATGAAGTAGGTAAGCTAGTGGTTGCATTTCTTATTACCCATAACATTTACTCAGAGAAGTGCTTTTGGCAAGAATGAAATAAATTTCCAGACAGCGTATATTGTCTTCATTAGAGAGTAATCTGACTAAGAGATTCCATAACATAAATATTTATTGCTAAATTAAAAGCTTTAAGAATATTAGGCAAATTTACTTGATAAATACAGTACTGTTTAGGGCCCAGTCTTTCAAACACTGATAATTTCAGTAACTTTGCTGGTTTGAACTCTTACTGTGGTCTAAGAGGGTTGATGGATTTAAAAAATATATATTATTTTTAGTCAAATATTAGAAGCTTAATGGAAAGTTGAAAAAAATATACCTCTGTTCCACAGCATGACATAACAGCTTCTGGGTTTACAGAGTAAATCTGTCATTCAATACTATCTGAAGTAGTAGTTGTACTTCTTGTTTCACACCTGAAAGGTGCTAGATCTGCCTACAATGCTAATCCTACACTTTGATCTGTACCTTCAAGAAGTGACAGTTATTTGTGACACAAGGTGTTATTACTCTAGTCTTATTTTAATGAGCTCTAAGGATGAAGTTTGATATTAATCCAAACTGCCACATTTGAAAGCTGAGAACTCTGAGAAACATTCTTTACTAAGGTGCTTGAGTTCATGTTTTGTAGCTGTTCCATGTTGTGTTATTGACAGCCAAGACCTCTCTCGGCCCTCACAGGATGATAAATGAATAAGCTCGTTGAACTCTGTAGTTCTGGTTGAGTCATCTATTAAACTGAAGATTAGATCAGGAAAGAGACATTAGAGTCTGCAAAAAGGATACAAGGCTTTTTCTCATTCATCATTCCTACCTATCAGAAATCTGATAGAGCACTTGCAATTGTCATTGAGTGGCAGGGGGACAGCTGGTTGATTATCATCTTATATCTAAATGAAGATGACTTGCGGGTTTTTTAGGATTTTTTATGTGGTGTCTATTTCAAAGCAGAGGTTTAGCTTCATTTTATTCCTACTGTCACTTTGCAGGGTACCGTAAATAGTCTGTAGATCTGATAAGTACGAAGTTTGATTCCACACTTGCAGCATCTGATAAACTCTGATCAGTTCCACACTTGTAGAGGCTAAATTAGAAGAGTTTAAATGTTTTAAAAAAAATGAAAAAGTTATGAATTCCACAAGGTTATCAGCTTGAGCCATGAGGTAGGGTAGGACTAGTAGAAGTGCCAGTGGTATAATATACATTAAAGAATCCATTTGAAAAGATTTAATTTACCTGTTGAATTTTACTGCAATCATTTATAATTCTCATTATTGTTGTTTTATTATATATTAATCAAACATCTAAACATGTTCCAGGGACTTGATGAGCCTATATAACGAAACGATAGTGCGTTGCATATTAGGGGTGTGCAAAGCAGGCTGTATTTGATTAGGATTCAGCCTGCTTTGGGGGACAGTGATTTGATTCACTGAGTCAGATCACTGTCCCGATTTGATTTGGCTGAAACTGAAGATTCGATTCAGCCATAGACACAAATTTATATGTTTTTTCTACGTACCTTGAGGTATCAAATGCAGCTTGAGAAGGTGAACACTGAGATGGTGGGATGGATGGAGTGTCCCACGTGCTCAACAGTGGACCCCCCTGCACTCCTGGGCTCAGTGATCAGTGCCTGGGGGACCTTGGGGGTCCCTCCAGACCAAGGAGGCACCAGTTGCCGAGCCAGGGTGTGGGGAGGTCCCCCATGTGCTCTGCGGTGAACCTGGAAGTAGACCGGAAGTACTTCTGGTCCACTTCCAGGTTTGCAGCTGAGCGTGCGGGGGACCCCCCCAACACACTCCCATGGGACACTCCATCCACCCCACTATGTCAGCGTTCATGAGCCGCACCTGGTACCTTGAGGTACAAGGTAAAACATATAAAGCTGTGTCTATGGCCAAATTGTTGAATCTCTCTGACTCTCCAAATTGATTTGGAGGCTTCCGATTCAATTCACAGAGATTAAAGGGTCTCCTGATTCAATTAGGATTCGGAGATTCGAACGCCAAATCAGGCCAAATCTCCTCCAAATTGAATTGGTGACCGAAGCTTCGCGCAGCCCTATTGCATATGTCTCGCTTTTCTTAAAATGAAAAAAAAATATTGAAACCTTTAAGCCAGCAGGGCTTGATGTGGCTAGATAAAAGGTAGGTTTAATGTTGAAATGCAGAGCCTCTGTGCTGAGGTACCTTTAAGACAGCTTTGCACAAGCAATCAGAATCTGATCAGGGCGAAGTGCAGACAGTCAAAAAGTCTGAGGCTGAATCAATTCAATCTTCATAGGTTAGTCTAAGCTCTGCATAGATTGAACTAATAAGCAAGTGAACAGACGTTCCCTTTTGATTTCAGAAATGCAGCCACATGCCTGCAGTGGCTCCGGCCAGAAGCTGTGGGGGAGGAGGGGGCACTAGAGCACACCTCCCTGGGCCAAGGCTAGCTGACTCATCCTGCAAGGCAGGGATATGCAGGGGAGGTACAAAACATCATGGTATGCTGGAGGACTGTGAATTAACTTGAATCTGGAAGGGATCTGAGACAGAAGTTCAGTAAACCGATTTAACTTAAATTAGTTAAATCTAATACTGCATCCATTCAGTTTTATCTTAAACCGGTTTCAGTCATTTTGAAAGCGGTTTATATGCACTGAACTTCTGTTGTGTTACAGATTTGAACTGGTTTCTGATCACTTATACCAGTTTATTTGTAATTTCTTTCTCTAGCCCAGAAGTGCATCAGTTGAGAGTTTCATGGGTGCTGGCATGGCTGGCTCATGTTCCACACTGCAATTTCTTCCCTTAGCAGTTAGTAGCCATGAAGAGTTTGGGAGAAGTTGCCAGGTTTTCAATAGGGAATTGAGCCAAAGAGGGAGAATTCTGAAAGAACGTCCATAAAGAAATAGACTTATTGGCCACTGTTTTTTTTTCCTTTTTAGGGATATTTAAAGGGAATCTTGTTAAAAAAAGTAATGGGGTGATATTTATAAAAATACCATTTGAGTTATTATCAGGAGAAAGTGTCTAATAATGAAATCTGTTAACTAAAGGAATAGGATTCCAGAGGACAGTGATTAAAAACTTCTTTGCTTGAACAATCAAGAAGGGGCAAAACACTGAAAAATGTGTAATCCAAAACACATTTAATTGTATTTTGTTAAATATGTATCCTCTCAGATATGCAGGATGGCAAGTTAACATCACATTAACTTTTCAAATTTCCTGTGATTTGTATATTTAATTTCTCACTCGCAGTGTTGGTTTAACATTCATTTTACATAGTATGATTTAAGATAGAAGTGTCAAACCTAATTTTGACTCTATATGTATTGCTAAGCTAGATTGTACTGTAATGTATTACAAAAACTAAACAGCCTTTTTCCAGGAAATGTCACAACAATTTATTTATTTTTTAACAGGCATATATTTTTCCTGAATGAGTAAAAGAAAATATGATTGGTTGTGTTCCGGAAAACACTATCTATATTGCTGAAAACATTGTTGAACAATATTTTCTCTTGTCACTTTTTAAATTTATTAGTTAACATTTTATTTATTTATTCCAGTTTTTAATGGCATTTAAGAAAGGAGAAGGGGCCCTACTTCTGACTATGATCCTGCCTATTTCCAAGGATTAATAGAAATTTCTTGTATCTTTTTCCTTCAAAATGAGTTTTCTTTTTCAAGAAACAGAAAAAATGTGTTGGAGTTAGGTGAGTGCAAATGACAGCAGTTTGAGGAACTGGCTGGGGAAGCACAGTAAGAATGTGAGCAGAAGGAAGAATGAGAGCTGAGAAAGCAAAATGTAGCAAAAGCTCACAGGAAGGACTGACTCAGAAAAACCTGGCTGTAAAAGTAACAACAAAATACAGGAAAAGAAAAAGGGGGCTTGGGTAAGAAGGACTAACTAACCATTTTGAGCAGGAGTGGGTAGGGGCTTGGAACTTTTTTCTTCTGTTCTGAACTCTGTGGCTCCGCCTTCCCTGCTTCTGCCATGCTGTGTGCGGGGAAGAAGAGCTGGGCTTTGCACTCTGCTCTGGGCATAGCAGCCACGGGTGGCGGCCAGGCTTGGGCACTGCTGGGGGCTGGGAGGGAGCAGGATGCTGCGGACTTGAGTCCCTGGCCCCATAGCCCTGGCAGCTGGAGGTCCCTTCCAGCAGGGCTGTGGGTGCAGGGTGAGGCAGGGCTGGGGGGCAGGAGTGAAGGGCACCAACAGGACTGGGGGGCTGTGGATGGGGAATGAGGGGCAATGGCATGGGCAGGCACCAGCATATCAGGGCTGCTCAGTACCACAAAGCAGTGGGGAGGGGAGGGGAAGGGAGAGGAGGGGGGACAGCTGCAGCTGGACCTGTGTCCTGTTGAGCGAAGGGGGCAGGGGGAACTATGATTTTCCATGATAAACCCAAAATCAAATGCGAAAATATATAGGTATTTAGAATTTATTTTATTATGGTGATTGAGGCACTGGTAGGCTTCCAAATTGCTTTAAAATTGTAAATATATCAATAAAACATCATGCTCAACTGATACCCATATATATATATATTATAGAGATATCTCTCTCTCTCTCTCTATATATATATATATATATCTATATATCTCTCTATATATAGTGGCATTTTATTTTAATCATGGAAAAATGTAGATTTTGGAGCTTTTAATCATAGGCTTTGCTTTTTTTTCCTATCAGGGGATTAGTGATTCTTAAACAGAGAAAACCAGGATCCTTGCTGATCTGTACACTGAATACTGCCTCAGAATGAATTTCTCCCAGAGAAAATGAAAACTGTGAGGCAGATTGTGACATGATCTGCTCCTGGGTTGGTGTGTAACGGTTCTGCATTGGGTTTTGCAACAATGCGTCTTTCATGTGTATAGGACACTTTTTTGAGACAGTGTAAAGGTTTCTCTCTTTTTTGTATTTTAACTGTTTTGGAATAAGTTTGTTCTTTTAGGATTGAAAACGGCCACAAAGAAATTTAATTGAAAACATTAACTCCATATGTAATTATGAAATATGTTTTATATTTCTTTTTATGTAGGAGTACATGAGCTTCCACATGAGATTAGATCGCTAGTCTGTCTGACTTAATATCACATCTCTAACAGTATTGCAACAAAGAAATTTAAGCAGAAAATACAAGAAACTGTTATGGCCCAACCTACAGCCCGTGAAAGTCAGTGGAAGAGCTCCCATTAATTCCAATTGTATAATGGGCTCATATCAGTTAATAATGCCTTCTGTCCTAGAGCATCAGAGGTGTTTCTGAGAAAAAGGGTGAGGACAGAAGAGAACCTGTTTTTGACATGTTGAAAGACTGAATTCAGAAAGCAGATGCATCAGGCCAGGTGACTGTCAGCAGTCCCTCAATACATGGATGACAATCTTCCAGTAAATAAGAAAGTCATCAGATGACTTGAAGTCAATCCAAGATCTGCATGTTGATGTTGGGTCACAGCTCT